AGAAGGTGACGACATTTGCTAACGAATGCATTTCAAGAAGATTAGAGATTTATAATGTCTTGATACTTATTTCTGACTATAACATAAAGACATTTGATTTTACTTGGCTTTTAAAGCCCGTCGTACACAAGCAAATTTTCTTTGACAAATGGAGAAAATTTGCCATATGAGATTTGACAAAAGCTGGAATGCATAGCTTTTCGCCAAATAAATGTGTCAAAGATTTGGAACTTATGCTCGTGTACGAGAGGCCGTCAAATAAATTGCTGGCTTCGTACACGGTCAAAGAAAATTCGAAGAGACCGTCAAAGAAATTTGAAAAATGTTCTTTGCTCGTGTACGACGGGCTTTACTATATTTCACGAAAATAGTTATTTATAAAGGGTTTTTTCCTGCAATGTGCCTACATTGAGATTGCATGTAGCGCATAACCGATCATGACTCACACTAGTATGATACAACGTTTGGGAAATGTTCCCTCCCAGGACTGCATAGTGCAGTGGATGCATACTGCTACAATATAGTCCTCGGATCCATTCATTTGATCGGATATGTGCGTTTGTTGTTTGTGGTGCCTGTGTATATTGTGTCCTGTCCGTCGGTTTGTCTTGTGTAATTGTGTATGATGCGCCCCCCCTGTACCTACTATTAGCACTCGTATAGAAAAATCAGTAATTACAAAACGGTGTACGCAACGATCACAGAAATATCCCAGTCATATGGCCTGTTGCGATGTATATATTTGTCAAATCAGAACAGCAGTTACACAGCTAACTCTCGTTTGTGGTAGCTTACCATTGTATATTGATAAGAATAAATTATTCGGCAAATGTGCTCATATGTTATTCAAATATTAATGCGCATCAAACATTTTAAATGCGAACAGGATGAGAATAACCAGTTAGTTTAAAAGGATACGGCCTCTTAATTAAATTGATTGTGTTGTTTTGTTTCGGAATAAGTTCCTGAAACGAAAAGTCAGCAACTCAGCATCTTGTGACTCTTTAAGACAGCCTCGTCACTTTATTTGTTATAAATCACATTGATTAATGTTTTTGTACATATGTATATAAGCAAACAATCCACAAATCACGGCTGCTAGATAAAGCAAAGAATGTTTATAAAACATCTACATGTCATATAAACTTGTTGTAGACCACGGAGCGGTGAATATAAAAATCTAGAAGATGCTGTCCTAGATACCAGACTTATCACAATGGAATGATTTTATAGATTTATAATAATAATAATATGTGTATACATATACCACACACAGTTCCATGCTAATAATATGCATGCTCAAGGCGTTACACAGTCTGGTGCCATAATAGGTCATAAATAAATGAGTTTTTAAATTACATGTAGTTTCGAACATTTCTAGACTGTATGATAGTTTAATGTTCATGGGTAATGGATTTCACAGAACAGGCACAATGTGAACAAACGATCTGTAACTATTGATTTGAGTTTGTTAGATGATCGCGTTTATAGGCCCGGTTGGTGTAGAAAGGTGGGACAATGAATACCATTTCCCTTCATTGTTAGATGCGCGCATAAGGATTTTAATAAAGAAAAAATTATATTTGATATCATTAAAGATACATTATGGGAGATAAGATAAAGAGCTGACAGTTCTCACTATAATAGTTAAAAACTAGATAATGTAAAGGGAATTTGCTGAAAATTTCAGTCAAATTGGTCCACTCTAAACCGATATTTAAGCGATTGAATTTTCGGCATAGCCTCGATCATCATTACTAAAGTCGGTAAGATAAAAAAAAAACATAGTCTCGATTATCCATTTCTTGATTAAATTATGAATGGAAATAGAACAGCAAATCGGAATCTAATCCGATAAACATCGCAGGCTAGCGATGACATCGAGAGTTGATTATTGTCTGGATAAGTTAATTAATGTCTACATTAATAATTTAGATAACATTTCAGGCCTAAAGAAAGACCTGCAATAGGCAGATTTAGCTCTTGCATAATGTATGTTTAATTTTGACCAGCATGTTCTGTTAAAAATAACCATATATATGGTGGATTTCAAAATTATTTTTTTGCTTTTCGGTAGTGAAAGTGGACGCTTAACTTCACGGGCTTACAAAGGGTCACTTTTCTGTAATAAAATAATTTCTTGATAAAAAAAATATTCAATTTTTTAATGATCGTGGACAAAATAAATGGAGGCCTCTATTTATCAGAATTCGATAAGACAGTATTATAATTAATTACTTCAATGATATCTAACTTAATATAAATAAATTAAAACAAATCTAATAGAATTCGAAATTAATTAAGTGTAAAAGTGTGCCTGAAGGTCAAGTTTTTAATAAGAGGACTTCAATTCTATAATATATATCACAGTTTATCAAATTAAGAAATTGTTCAGATAAGTAATAACGACTGAAATAATACGTTTAGTGGTTTGGCATATGTCACATTAAAGAGACACATTCATGAAATCTAAACTTCTCCGGTTTAATTAAAAAGAAAAGTTGAATGATCTGCAAGGTCTCAATTTCAAGAAAAAAGATTCAATTAATTGAAAGATTATGTCAGACTTGTTTTTAATCGCCAGCGTTTATAGTAATACCTGTAAGATTAACGTTGACGGTTAATAATTAAATCGACTCGTGCCCTCTGTGATTAATTTTAAAAATTACGGCGTCTGGACCTTAAAGATTTCCTTAGATAATGATTAGCAAATTTAATTGCCCGCGTTTTTATTGGTCATTATTTTGCGTGGATCAACACCTTTAATGAAAATTAATTCAGGCGTCTTCGTGTTATGAATTGCCTCTTAATTATTTCAAACTTGACCACCTTTTCAAATGCCTCGTAAGCATGACCCCAGCCATTATGACGGCCGTTATATTGAAGCAAGCATCCAAGCTTAACTTTTGTAGATCATATTCTGAAAGAAACCTCGTTTGAATTTTATTGATAAAAATAATCACTCTTGAAAATGTTTTGGCTTATTATGTGCTCATACTGTCGACTCCCAAAGTGCTCTTGTGTTAACACAAAAACAAGCCAGACTCAAGCACGAGTTCTGAAGTGGCTAACATTTAATGTAGAGAGGTGCCGTCAAATATAAGGAAACAGTTGAATAGTTAATAGTCAGTATTTTGATGATATCAGTTTTATTTTGTACGAACATATTGTAAATAAATTGTTGACCTTTGCTTAGAAAAGTCAAAATTAGTATTTATTTTATATAATAATTAATTGTATGATGTCAGAATTTTAAGTAGTCCACTTCTGTTTAATCTCTCAAATAAATATGAAAAGACTATATCGTAATGAGAAATAAGATGAAAAAATTGTTTTCGTGTAGTTTGACACCACTGAACTTTATGTACGGTCGGCGACTGTTTGTCCAAATCTTTCGTGCGAAAAGAATAATAAATCGCTATATAAACCTTTATTCTAAAGATAAAATAACTAAAGTGGATTTACAGTGTTCGAAATACAAAAGCTTAAAATGGCGTATGGCTCTATTTATTTTTAAACCTTGAAATAGACGAAAGTGGTTCTAAAAGCACATATTAATGTAATATGAATGTATGTAAAGTGATTTATATTCAATTTTTGAACAAAATATTGTAATTTATAATCAATTATGTTCGGTGAAATATGTGAACAGTTCATATGGAACGACAATCGTTTACACCAGCTTAGTGACATTCGACACGTTTTTTAAATATTATTTTGTCGTGTGTGAATTAGTCTTTACTAATTACTTCCACATTGTCTTGTAAGATATGGTTTTTTTTCCGTTACAAAAAAGCACCCGAAACGATAGTGTACACGATTCGTGTACTGATTACAAAATTTTAATTGTGTCTGAAATGTTCGATATTAGGATCCTATATTTTCACGGCAAGATAAAAACATCAATACTAGCTGTTTTTTGAATTGGCCAATATTGAATTCTAAGTTAGAGACTAAGCTCCTTTAAAGACTCTTTGTTGGCTACGTGAACTTCTTAAACGCAAACTAGTACAGAATGTGCTAGAATACCCTGCCATGTACACGACAACGATTTCAGAAGTTGAAACTACTATATTAAAGAGAAGTGAACAATTTTTTCGGTTTCTGAATATGTAAAATATTCGAGCCTAAAGAATTATGTGGTGCCAAGACTCATGTATAATTTCTTTCTTAATCTGTCAAGTGATCATAATTCCAATGGTTGCTGATTTCATTTGGTATGTCTGATTGGTGTTTTAGCCCTGGAGATTTTACTTGGCGGGAATTCTCTTTCTCAGACTACCGACGGCATGTATATGGGATATATTTGTTTAATTTGATAAGACATTAGTGGAAAAATAGGAACTTATTCTCGGATTCAAATCCATACGTAGGGTAAAAAGACCGTTCGGGGTTTTCTAAGCCCAGTGTCGCGACATGATTCGGTTTAATGTTTGGTCCTGAATCGTATATTTTATGAGAAATAATTGGCTTTACACTTGGTATATAATAACATTTAACAAGATTAATACGGGATTCAAATGAACTGTTCTAATAAAAAAAAAATTAAAATAAATAAGAAATGCAACGACAAATAAAATTCCTATAATAATAATGAACTGTTTGATTTTTGAAAAGCTATCTAGCAGTGTGTTTTATAAACTCAATGGGAAGCATAAGTGAACCAACTTGACAAAAAAGCATTTCTCGGAAAAAAGTTCCATGTCAAAGCATGGAATCGAAAAGATACGTAATTGGTGTGATTTTACCCGAGTCCTAGTCAAACCAGGCACAACACGGTTCACGGTATCAGAAGCAGCAAGGCATGCAGGAGAAGTTTCGGATAGGTGGAATTCGAAGAAGAAAAGTCGCAAGGGTAAAACAGGTAGAGAGCATAATACTTTAAAATAGTTGGTTCAAAAGTCTGTAATGTTTTGGGTTCATTTTTATAACTTCTTTAAAATAAATTTATTATTATCATAGATATATGTTGAAAAAATTATTTGTAGTTCGACTCCAGATGTGAGATGGTGGTTTGTCGTGAGTTATAAGAGTTACCTCCCTTAAAGTAACTCTTCAATCGTGAGACCCACGTTGTAAACAACTATGGCTGACAAATCGGAAGAATTAAAGAAAAAAGGTGAATTTAGTCAATATTGAAAGTCCCCGTAAAACTTATAGTTCCTTATGAACACTTCCATGATGTGTCCATCAATTTATCACTGTTTTTAGATACTTGACATAAAATTGCATATGTCCTACTCGTTTAAAGGCTCAATACCACTCTTGTTGTAACTGAATAATATGTCCCAATCTTTATTCTGGTCAACAAATTGTACTATTTTAGAATATTTCAATTAATTGATGATACAAATTTCATCTTAACACACCTTATTTAAAAATTTTGAAAAATTCAACATAATGGTTTGAAACGTCTAACGTAAACCTTTTCAAATGAAACTTCAATTTAAAAATATTTTCGAACCCTCTGGACAAGTAAAATAGGATGTCATGGATAATTTACACAACAGGTAGGACAATTAAACATCTAGTACTTAGAGATATTATTTATTTTCTGGAGCTTTCAAGCCAGCAAGAGTGTTATTGTCCCTTTATGGATAAGAAATTGATGATGGGGATGATGATGCTTTTCTTTTGAATTTTGACAAATAAATTTGAATACTTGACTTCCTAACCTACGTGTAAACCCAGCAGGATGCATTCAATGTTATTTCCACTTGTGATATGCTTTGAGGTTTTTTTTTTGTTACTTCGCTGAATGGATATTTTACTACACTGATGGTTATTGATAAACGAAAGTCATTATCATACAGCTGATCATATTCATAGTGATACATGTATGTTGTAGTTGTACACCAAGCCATATCATAAGATCACTCCGGACCGAACTACATGGAATTCATGTGTTTGTTTTTAGCTATGATTGAGTGCCTTCAGTTTTACCTGGTAAATTCAATTTCTATACTGAGCGCCATGGAAAACGCATCACTTTTTTTCCCAAATATTTTATTACTAGGTGGTTTTGTATGCATAATATTATGCAATACTATGAACTATTGTTTCACACAATGCTCCCAAACGCAAAAAATATTGGCCTGTGTGCACAAAAAAAATTGCACGAGATGCACATGAAAAACCCAATATTCATGTGCAGCATTGTGTGTGAGCCCTTTAAAAGCATGTTTTCAACTTAATGTGAGTACATGTACATGAACTATGAAACCTCAATCTGTCGTAATTTGTTGTTGGACGTGTGAAGGAATCGAGCTAGAGATGCCGAGACTTACTGAAAATGAAGCCATGGGAATGTCCCGGGCTGGCATGTCTACACGTGCTATTGCCAGACACTTCAATTGTCATCAGTCCACTATTGTAAGGTTGGTGGAACGTGTTCAAGTTACTGGATCAACACGTGACCGTCAACGTCCTAGTCCACAACGCGTTAAACCCAGGCTCAAGACCGCTACATCCGGGTCACTCATCTGCGTGACAGATTCCGCCCAGCAACTCGAACAGGTGCAGCAGTCGTCGGAAGACAAGGACCAGTAAGTGCCAACGTCGTCTAAGAGAAGTAGGACTCTGTGCACGACGACCTTATGTTGGAGCTATCCTCAGGGATCATCACTGTCAGCGGCGTTTGATATGGGCTCATGGGCTCAAGGATACCAGACATGGAGAAGAGTAGACTGGCAAAGTGTGCTCTTCAGTGATGAGAGTCGCTTTCATCTTTATCACGCTGATGGCCGTCAGCGGCGTTTGATATGGGCTCAAGGACACCAGACATGGAGAAGAGTAGACTGGCAAATTGTGCTCTTCAGTGATGAGACTCGCTTTCATCTTTATCACGCTGATGGCCGTCAACGTGTGTGGAGACGTCTTGGGGAACGTCTTGCAGACTGCTGCGTCTTCGAAACGAATCGATGGGGCGGGGGGAAGTGTAATGGTGTGGGGAGGCTTCACATTTCATCACCGGACCGCCCTACACATTTGCAGGGGTCGCGTTAATGCTATAGCCTACCGTGATGATGTCTTGCAACCAATTGTTGTTCCGATGTTTCGAGCGCACCCACAACTTCAGCACTTCCAACAGGATAATGCACGTCAGCATACCACCCGTTTTAGTATGGACTACCTGGTTACTAACAACATCAATGTCTTGGACTGGCCAGCCATGTCTCTGGACATGGCAACGATAGAACATGTCTGGGATGAGATTGGATGCCGTCTGTATCGGAGACCACAGATGCACACCATTGCTGCTTTAGAAGCTGCTCTTGTCCAAGAATGGAAAAATTTGCCCCAGGCCTTCTTTCAAACATTGGTTAATTCCATGCGACGTCGCTGCACAGCGTGCGTAAGAGCCCTTGAAGGACACACACGCTACTGACATCTGTGTTGTACTTTTGGTTTTGACCCCTCTGACTTTGTACCGTTGATTACAAATTAAACATCCATAAGTGTACAAATGTGTTGTTATTGATGTGTTCCCATTTGAATATTGTTCACAATAAGAAGCAAAATAAATAAGATATGTTTACAGGATCATTTTGTTATACGAAAAACTAAGTGATGCGTTTTCTATGGCGCTCAGTATATATTAATGTATGAAACATCTTAAAAATAAGATAATTTTATACTATTATTATTATGACTAATCTTACCGAAGCCAATTTAGTGACACAAGATCGCCTAACTCCAAATATTCCTCTTTGAATTAATGAAGCAGTATTTTTATCTGACTTGAATCCGCCATCAAAGTCCATTCATAGTAAGTTACAGTGCTTTCGTCTCCACTTGCTATTGCCTTTTTGATTGGCTGTTATAAAAGCCCTATATTAAGCCCGGCCTTCATGACAATAGTCTCATACAACACTTCGATTTAATATAGATGAGGACAGGATTATATGCTTAATTGTAGTTGGATGTGGCAGAAATGTTATAAATAACAATAATTAATCATTGCTTTGAGGGAAAAATTGTCAGTTTTGCTTATATGAAGCCCGATGTGATTAGCATTGGGGTTTGCCAGTAGGATCTATATAGTACCATCTCTTATCTCGAAAAATGGAGGGTTGGGAGATCAGATTTCTTATCTAGTACTGCCACAGTCCCCTCCAGTTTTGATCTTGCTCTTCCATTACATCAAATTTTGGTACATGTATGGTATCGGATAGCTAAATCTTAGTGCTCACACAAACAATTTTTCATGACTTTTAAAACTCATTTTGTTAGTATTTGTAACTCAATAAAAAAAAATAGAATAAGGAAAAGAAGCTTATATTTATATGTTGATTTATAGGTGTATTGCTTGTACATAAAAGAGAGACCCTTAGAACCCTTTATTGAAGTCCTAAGCAACTATTTTAATTAAGCTGTGAGATGGAGACAGGCTTCTAGACTAGGAATCACCTTGTCTCTGGATAAACCTGTGTACAACTCAAGAGGTGTGCACAGCACCATCTGTACTTTTGTTTATTTATTGAGAAGGTATCGAGTGGTTGCATTATTATGTGAGTCATTATTGTTTGATGTATTTGCATACTTCAACAAACTTCTTTTTCGGGCCTCAGTTATAAACAGAGACTTCCTGTTTAATCAAATCTCTAATCTATTTGTAAAACTTAAATATAGCTTACATAATTTAAACTTATATTTTATAGATGGCAATCAGAAAAAGGCGAGGACATTTGATTTTATGGCAATGTTTGAACAGGCTAGACAAACAGCCATAGAGAGAACTGGAGAAAATATTTCTACAGGTAATTTATTTAATTCTGACTGACTTGAGTAATATTATGCATTCACTGCAGAATATACATGTATCAATACACAGAATGTAAATAGTAAACAGGTATTTGTTAGAAATAATGTGCTGTTCATAAATATAAATATCTCAAATTATCACTTTTTGGGGGGTGGGGGGGGAGGGATGAATATCTAAAAATTTGATTATCAATGTTTTAATACCACACTACATGTATCTGGTCTATAGCTACTGTCAAAATATTTAACACATTTTAGGAAATATTGACACTACAGTGAGCCTGATATTGCTGTTCACATTCACTCCTTAATATTACTTCTGACTATCTCCAGATATAACAGAGAGAGATGCTGTAAAACCTAAGGACAAAACTGGAGATAAAAATATCAAAATTAAAATCAATAAAGACAATGGTTCTAGTGATACAGACAGCAGTGATTCCAGTTCTTCTGAGGATGAGAAAGATTCAGATAGCAAATCAAGTTTGGTTGGTCCACCAGTCCCAGCACGATTTAATCCTGTAGCTAAAAATAAAGATGTTGATGTTCCAATACCAGGAGATGATAATATAATTGGGCCACCTATTCCATCTGTTATGCATACTAGTGATGATGATGATGATGATGACGATGATGAGGAAGATAATGAGGAAGATGACATGGTATGTTTCGAAACCTTGTTGTGGCACCAATTACATATAAAAATAGATTTCATTAAAGTTGGTTACTGTAGTTAATATTAGTCACTATTTTCTGTAGTGAAAAATGTTGACGAAACAGGAATGACATTCATAATTTTTGTAAGTTATTGCTGAATATTAAACTAATGATCTACATGGGGTATACATTTTCTATTTCAGAGTTTAGAAAAAAGAATTCCATCTAGTCATGAAATTGTTTTAAAGCATGGAGTCAAAACAGTGAGTCAACCATTATTTGTTATTTATAATTTATCCTGTTTAATAAAAAGAATAGTCAATGGTTAATAAAATTATGATATGTAATTTGTTTATAAAGAAAGTTTGTTTTGAAAGGTCTTAAAAGCAGAAATTAGATCTACTTTGATAAAATTGGATAATTGCATTAACCATTGTTCTCTCTTAATTTGAGTTTTTTTTTTATGTGCTATTTTAGGTGTCTGCTATGGCATTAGACCCATCTGGTGCCCGTCTTGTTACTGGAGGTTATGATTATGATGTTAGATTGTTTGATTTTGCGGGTATGGATTCCAGTTTTCATAGTTTCAGAAATTTACAACCCTGTGAAAGGTAGGTTTTTTGGGTTTTTTGTCCATCTTTACTTTTAACCTGGTATATTAAAGACAAAATCAATTCTGTTTTTGCTACTATTAATATTTTGTTTGATTTGTGAAGAATATTGCTTTGTAAACTGAGTCTTTCCCAATCTTTCTAATAGTTTGCTGAGATAAATAAATTTCCCCCAGAACACCTTTCACAAACTAACCACTTTTCTTGGTGTACAGTAATAATGGCACAGGTAAAAATAATTAGGGTTGCCATTATTACCTAAACTCGCATGTTTTGCCAATGTCATTATCCCAGTTGGTGTAGAAAAGTAGGTCATTATATATGTTTGATATTAGAAGATAGAGTAAATAGTAATAAGATTTTTATTTTCTTAGTCATCAGATAAAAGCTTTAGAATATAGTATGACCGGTGATACAATATTAGTTGTAGCTGGTAATGCTCAAGCTAAAGTTTTAGATAGAGATGGATTTACGAAAATGGAATGTGTAAAGGGAGACCAATATATAGTAGATATGGCCAGCACAAAGGTAGGATGATTTTCTATCAAATACTGATTCAGCTAGAAAATTGTTTTAAGTGATGCAAAAATCAGAATTTCAACATATAAAATCCCCAAAGAAAAATTTATTCCAACAGCCCTGAGATCTATGTATAAAATAAAACATTATTGTAAAAACCACATTGTGGAATCCCATTGTAATTGAAATTGAAAATCTTTATCACTGTCAGTGGGTCTAAAAGTGTAAATATATTTTTTATGATATCAGTATTAAATTGACCTGGCAGTTTGTGCATCTAATAATATTGTATATCCTTCTTGTGAATTGTTTTTTTCAAGGGACATTGTGCCATGTTAAATAGTGGATGCTGGAATCCCAAAATTAAAGAAGAATTTTTAACATGTGCTAATGATGGGTAAGTTTTAAAATGAAGAATGTATTTCTTAGTAATCAGCTGTACAAAACAATACAATATCAATACAAAATAACAACCAAGACAGAAAATAAAGTAAGGAGTCATCAAACATAACACCCTTCAAAACAAGGCAATAATCAAGGATGGTCAATTAGATTGCAATCAACATCCTTGATGGCATTATCTCCATGTTATAAACTACTCTTTTGGTCGGATACAGCATGTAACAATTATATCAACCCTTATAGGATCACAGTTAAATCATATCAACCCCAATCAGATCACATTGGTTCCATGATGCATTAATTTAGATCAATTATCATCAGGTCACATTAGTTAGATAATGCATTAAATCATATCAACCCTTATCAGATCGCATGATGCATTAATTCATTTCGACCCTCATCAGATCACATTGGTTAGATGATGCATTAATTCATATCGACCCTCATCAGATCACATTGGTTGCATGATGCATTAATTCATTTCGACCCTCATCAGATCACATTGGTTGCATGATGCATTAATTCATATCGACCCTAATCAGATCACATTGGTTGCATGATGCATTAATTCATATTGACCCTCATCGGATCACATTGGTTGCATGATGCATTAATTCATATCGACCCTAATCAGATCGCATTGGTTGCATGATGCATTAATTCATATCAACCATAATCAGATCGCATTGATTGTATCTTATAAAATGAAATGAAATGAAATGGGGTTTAACGTCCTACTGTTTTGCTCCGAACTGGGCTAATGAAAACGGTTGTATCTTATAATATATACACATGTATTTGTTATATTTTATAGAACAATGAGATTATGGGATGTAAATGTTGCACATAAACATAAGAGTATAATGAAACCTAAGAATAAACATGGTAGAAAGACAATACCTAATACATGTGTATTTAGTAATGATGGTAGATATATGGCAGCAGCATGTGATGATGGTTCTATACAGATGTGGGATCATAATAGACCTTTCCTAGTAAGTTTCAATAATCTTTTTCTGGGTAAAAATTAATGTTTGTTAAAATGTAATTCTGCATGCATAAAAGTCATAAATTATGATTAATTGAATCTGTGACACAATGTCCGTGATATCTTGTCTAGTTTCGCTGGGTTTTGGGTCTGGTACCCCATGTTTAGAAGAGAAAATTGTTAGCTTGGATACACACCACTAAATCAGCCAGGGATACTTGATTCCACTCTTTGAATCCCACTAATTTGTTGGCAGACAAGTGATTAAGAGGATTTCGAGCCACAAAGAATCTCCACCAACCATGATAGCTGAAACATGTGTTCACTTGCTTTGGTAACCTCAGATTTCTACACGGTTAAGGGGACTGACAGAAATGAATGCAGTCCTACTCGGGTTGCAATTCTGTCAATTTGGAATTTCAGGATGATCGAGCATCCCCCAGTAATATACATTATAATTGATAGAGGTTGACTTCTCTCCTTAATATACATTACAATAATTTCTGTTCACAGATAAATGTGTCGTTAGTGAATAGAGATTGTCACATGATGGGATCAGAAACAAGTTGTTTATGTTTTTCATACGATGGTAAAACTCTAGCATCAAGGGGAGGTAATTATTATTTTTATGTATCTGACCTTGGACAGAAAATTATTATGTTATTATTTTCATATAAAATAAAATTAACTAATAATAATAATTAATAATAATAATAATACTAATTTATTTATAATGTGCCTATTACCAATATAAAATACTGCTCAATGGCGCAGTTAACATTTTGTGGACATCACACATAGAAAAACAAAATTAAATGGATGATAAAAGAAATTAAAATGGCATACGATAACAATCAAAATGTGGCAGTAAAGATTATAATAAAATATGACATGTAACAAACAAATTAAAATAGCTAAAAGTAATAAAGGATAAAATAGAACAGCGCCTAAAACAGAATAAAATGAACTCGGATACATGTATTAAAAGCCATAGTAGTCAACAAAAAGGTGTGTTTTTAAATTGGGTTTAAAACTTTCAATGCTATCAGATAGTTTAATATTGAGAGGTAAGGTATTCCACAGAAAAGGAGAAGCGTGGGAAAAAGAGCATGTGGAAAGATAAAAAGGTGTAAGCAAGTTGCTAAAGAAATGAAATGGGGGGTTAATGTCCTACTTTTCTGAGGAGCTTTCTCTATCCAAACTATAAGTCTGAATAATAGACAATATAATAATTACCGATCATATATGGATAATATGCCCATGTATATATTTCTAGGTGATGATACACTAAAACTATGGGATATGAGAAGTTTTAAGAAACCATTAAATGTTGTAAAAGGATTAACAAATTATTTTCCAATGTAAGTATTTTTATGATCTGTAAAATTTGAGATTTATATGGAAATATGGCGACTCTCATAAAGGTAAACATCATATGATTGTAATTCTTCCACCAATAAGTACTTGCACATTACTAAAAAAAATATCTATAAACACTGAAATACTATCAAATCGTTTTCTCATATGCAGCATATTCCGTTCAATTACTTCTTGATGTAAACAAAATGATAACTGCAAAATTATAGCCAGGCGATGCGAATGTCATAGTGATATTCTAAATGAACATTGAAATACCGACAAGGAATGATGCTTTGCAATATTTTAGCAGGGTGTGGAAATAATGTTCTTTCGATTATCGAAAAATTGCTTGAAAGCTCTTGTGAGAAAGTTAACATTATTGCTTCATTGTCTTTTTGATCTATACATGATCCTAACGCTGGGGAAATAATATTCTTACGATTATCAAAAAATTTAATTTCTTGTGAGATAGTTAACATATTGCTTCATGGTCTTATTGATCTATACATGATCTTTACAGACTCTATAAATACAAAATCCAATGGTAGAATTGAGTTATAAATAATAATTGATATATTTATAGGACAGATTGTTTGTTTAGTCCCGATGATAAAATGGTGGTTACAGGTATATCGGTGAAGAAACAGGAAGGTCCAGGACAACTTGTATTTTTTGAAAGAGAAACTTTAAGTATTGTTAATGCTATGGATATATCTGATTCAGTGAGTAGAAGTGTCTTCTTCATTATACATATATTTTAAAGTGGGATTAGTTATGCCTGTACATGTATATATGTATCTTTGAATCAGGAATAGATATCTTGTATATTCAAAAGAGGCTAGAGATCAAGATTAAAGTGCACAATGCTACAATTTAAACCATCTGTATTCAAAAATAGGGTTAAGAGAGATACTTTAGATATATCTTTGTAAAAATAGCTGGTTTATTCTGTGTAGATGTAGCATATGTGACTGTATACTATTATTTGTGTGTGTTGGTGGGGGGAGCGATCGATTGGCTAACGCATGTATTGGATGAGAAGGCCTGACATTGAGTTAAGTGGTTTGGTATCGATTCCCTGCCTGTCCAACCTCGTGGGTTTTCTCCGGGTCCTCTGGTTTCCTCCCACCGCTAAAGACCCCTAATAAAATGAACCATGTTAGACCCGAAATTACCTAGTTTGTGTTGAGTGGATGTTAAACCCCATTTCCCTCTCTCTCTATATTTGTGTCTGGATAGAACCTGTCTATAGGCCATGTGTTGTGAGGCCACACAAAGAAGAACAAATCCTAATTTTGCAATTGTTTCCAACCGGTTCAATTTGGTGGTTGCATGGTTATGTAAAGATTGTGAAATATCTTTCTTTTTTATTTTCTATAGAGTGTTGTAAAATGTTTATGGCACCCTAAATTAAATCAGATAGTTGTTGGTAGTGGTGATGGACTGGTTAAAATATTCTATGATCCTAATAAATCAAATCGGTAAGTTAGGTAACTTTAGAAAAAGAATAGCTTGTTATCATGAACCTTTTATTCTTGCAAACTACAATATTGTGAAATTTGAATATCAGTGTAAAAATGGTTCATTTCCATTCAGTCTTTACAAAGATATGATGAATTGATATAAACAAACCAGTGGCACCTATGATGTGCCTCTTTCTGATCGGTTTAAATCCAAGCTAGATTATTACTTATTGCTGATATTTTGGTTTTGTTTTCTTAATTAAATTTTAAATAATCAGAGTACATTTTAGCATGGATTAAACTGTGAATCATCCATGATCAGGATCAGCAACTTAAACTGTATTCAAGGTTAGCCATTGAATATATATTTGTGAATATTCTGTTTCAGTGGAGCTATGTTATGTACGGTGAAAAAGAAGAGAAAACAGAAAGAATTACAAGTCATGGCTTCAAAACAGATTATTACACGTAAGTTGAAATATTCTTTTTTTTATGGGATTGTATTATTGGCTGTAATGGATAACTGCTACAAATGACACCAGATTTGTTTGTATATCACTGTCAAAGACATTATGTAGTTTATTTACTGAACACCTTTAGTAAACAGTCAAAAACTGCTTTACATTATCACTAAAATATGTGAGTTAAATTTATAGATTATATATATTATTTACTTTTTGTGTTTTTTTCAGCATATGCTTTACCAATGTTTAGAGATAGTCGACCTACAAGTACACGGAAACAGGAAGAAAGAGTGAGAAAAGATCCAACTAAAAGTAAAAGACCAGATCTACCAGTCAGTGGACCAGGTAATAAATGGACTCAAAATTCATGTTTTATGCTCAACTTTTATTTGATTTGACAACTGAATTGTTTTTCCAACAAATATGTTTTGATGCCATTGCCCTTCTTCATTAGCCCAGCATAGGAGCAGAACAGTGGGACGTTAAACCCCATTTCATTTCATTTCATTTTGATGCCATTGTTTTTCAGATATTCAGGTAAATTTGAGTATCAAGTGTCATCCTCATCTTGGAATTGTAACATCATACCAAAAACCACAGTCTGTCAATCAACGCACAATTGTCCAAGGAATTAGCATGCCAAGTTTCATGTCGATTGTACTTGAATTGGTCGCCCAATGTGATTAGTAGCTCTTGGTGGCTAGTTTTATCATTTGTAGATTTTATTAAGTTTAATACCAAGTTCATTCCTTAATTGTTTTTAGGTACTGGTGGTCGAGTGAGAGAAAGGGGAGCAACTCTATCTCAGTATGTTGTACAGTCTATAGTTTTACGGAAACCAGATCCTCATGAGAATGATCCTCGTGGTGCCATCTTGAGACATGCTGAAGAAGCAGAAACAAATCCTTACTGGATTACACCAGCTTATAAAAAGTATGTTCAACATTCATTTTATAATTATTGAACATTACAATTAAAAGAAAAAAATAGAAAAAATACCATTCAAGTCCATGTAAAAGTCGTTAATGAAGACTTACCTCCCTTTTTATTTATTTCTTTCTTTACATCAAAGTATTCCTGGACACCAACTGTACAGCTTTTAACTGCATAGCCATTTCATCAGCTATGCTGCTCGCTGTGTAATAAACTCACAGCCATTTTGTTGTCCACAAATAATTAATGATGGGCCTATCTTAATCTGATTAAATCCAAACCAACAGATCATCTAGCATGGGTATTTTTTTTTTTTTTCTTTTCTTAATTAAATGTTAATCAATCTGGGTACATATTAAGCCGTGAGAAATTTGTTATTTTTAGCGAAAAATGCAAATGACACTTTGTTAATTAAATGTTGTCTTATCTATTCCTAAATGTTAACATTAAAAGTTGAGGATTAGAATCATTGTCAGTGCTTTTCTTTTCATATAGGAATCAACCTGTTCCAGTCTTCCGTGAACCAGAAGAAGAAAAAAAAGAAGATGATTCAGGGCCATTGTGGAAAAAAACTAAGTTGGGATGAATGGCTTGTTCTTTTAAAGTCAAAACTCAGGTACAATGTGAAGCTTATTTGACAGTGACACAGAGAATATTTTTCGAGTTAAATGTAAACTCATATTTTGGTGCTTTAACAAATTATTTTTTGAAATAAAATTGTGAAGGTATAAAGCAGGTGTGCATTCAAGCTGGTGGATTATTGTCGAGATCATCTAATTAAAGGCCAAGAGACTTACTTCTGAGAAGAAATATAAAGGTCTTACTGTTTTATAGGCAGATAGAAAGATACAAATTGTACCCTTTTGAGGGGATGAACAATAAAATATAAATTATGTAACTTTTAGAAATGTTACAAATTGTACCCTTTTGAGGGGATGAACAATTTTAAAAACAAATTTTGTTTTATATGTATGTATATATGTACAATAATAATTTTATATAAAACAATGCTACCAAATTTCCAAAGAAACACAGGGTTTTTTTTTATACAATGGGCAACAAAATTGATCACTGTGCTTAAAGTCAATGTAAGGTGTGTGGCTTTGAGCATTTGTCTTATCAGATGTCATTGTATAACCTTTATTAATTTATTAACTTTTGTGTATAGAGTAAGTAAGGACCCCATTGGAAATAAACCTAGTTTTAATTTAAGCAGGTTTTTATGGGTTATCCTCAAGAGAAGGGTCATTCATGACATCATTATTTTTTCTCTCATCAAAACTTTCTCATTATCATGTAACTTTTATTTTAGCATACATTCAATAAATTAATTGAAGTGGTGATCTATTACCAGCCAGAGCTGAGCCCTCTCTTTAAATAGCGTTAACATTTCATGTATATTTTATAATGTTCTCAGATAAACCCAGTAGATAAATATATTATATTTCACTTTAAGCTAGTCACATGAGAACAAACAGAAAATCAGTTATTAAACAACTACGTTTAATTTGTACTGATTAGCTTTTGGACAATGGAGTTCAAAATTTCTGTAAATTGAGCAAATGAAAATTTCTCCAATACTCTCCTCTTTCCTGCTTTACCAAAACTTTTAGCCATTTCAGGCTTTTTCACAAAATTTTCAATAGCTTTAGCAAAATCATCAGCAGTTGGGGAACACAGGAAGCCTGTTTCACCATCTGCCACAGTTTCAAGTGGACCACCACTCTTAACTGCAATAACTGGACATTCCATAAACATGGCTTCAATAGGTACAATACCAAAATGTTCTTTATCTGGAGTGTAAATAAGACAAGTACTGTATTTCAGTAATGTTCTTTTTTGGGAATCACTAAAAGATCGGAGAAAGGTCACACAATCTTCGAGATTTAAAGTTTTTGCCAGTCGTTTTAATTCCTGATAATGTTCTACATTTTCCGTAACTCGATTATCGTAACCACCAGCCATTATAAGATGAATTGTTTGGTTATCAGGATATTTTTCTTTTATTTTACCTGGAAAAACAATAAATCCAAGTGTTAAATATTATTTCTATAAAAACACTTGTGAGTTCACAATACTGAAGAGTGATCTCCATTACTTGTACCTTAACATTACATACCACTTCTACCTCGTTACCAGTGGCAACCTTTGATAAAACTGTCCTGTTTATTTCCAATACAGGCATAAAAGTATCCGTGTATCAAAAATGAACAGTACGCTTTCCAGAGTAATGTTCATTTCCGACAAACACTTTTATACAAGCATTGAAAATAAGCAGGATGAAAACAAACACCTAGAAAATCATAAATTTTATTACAAATAAATGCACACTTCACCAGGATTGACCCATGTTGTGCAGTGTCCTTTACATAACGTTTAATATAATTGCAGTCCTCTACGCCAGGGACAAGTTGTTTTGACGATGTGGTAGGCTCTATGTTCACCGACTTCGTCAAAACAACTTCGTCTTTCAATACGGAGTGCAGTCTAAAAAAAAAAATGTGACTGTTTTACGCTCAGGGTAACGCAGCAAGACGCACGTGTAAATACTACTCAGGTCATTTCTCCACTGCAAAATCAGTCTACCACGCAATGTAACGTGAGGCACATAAAGGGATAAATGAAAGAGCAGAAAGTATTTGTCACATTTCGCTTGACACGACTCGATAATACAATTTTTCACATTACGCTTCACAATACTCGATAGAAATGTGATGTAAGTGACTTATTAGCACCTTTCTCCTCGGTGTATCGGTGTAGAATTCTATTGGGGGAGTGTTAATCTGCTTATTACTACCAATTTGTACAGGATCTTAAATCACATCTGAACAATTACACACACTTTGTTGTCTTTTTGTAAGCTTTCGTAATGTGGGAACACATCAGTCAAATTGTAGATGCAAGTACACACCCTAACTTTATAATACTGGAAGACAATGATTTGGTTAAATGTGCTTCACTTTTCAAAGACCATTTACTTACCAAATGCCTGTATAGCTACAGGTAGGTTTTTCTTTCTCTCGTATCTGTTTATAGAGAGTAGTATAAGAGATTTGTTACTGGGTATTAGATCATCTGTTGGATCATCTATTGGTTTATCAAATGCTGAGAAATCTGGTATAGGATATAATACTTGGGGTTGAATATGTGATAATGATTTGAAAGTATCATGGAATACACCAGCTGCAAAAATAGAAACAGTCAAAATATACATGTACAGAAGGTAGATGACAATTTGCAGACACCATGATATGTAATATGAGTTATAATGGCCAATAGTGATGTCGCCTCATAAACAGTGGCTTTAAAACCAGGTGGGTCAGGTCATTTAAGGGCTTAACTCCTGTTTCCACTGAGGTTGATTACACAGACATTCCCGGAAAAATCAATGTAATCATTTTGATGTGGCTAAACTTCGGGCATAAAATGAAGACCATCGTGTATAAACCAATCAATTAAGCAGTAGTCAGTGTGTAAATTCAATCTGTATGGTCAAGTTTAATTATATCTGGTTTGTGTGAGGCAACATCAGAAAACATTTCCCATAATGATAAATACATGTATACAGTTGTGAAATGGAACTAGCGATGTTTGTAAAAATCTTTGACTTTTTAAACACTTAACGGCCACAACATTATTATTGCGTATTTTTTTATTAAGTTTTACCTGTAAATTTACTGTTCACCAAGACACAGTCTGCCATACCAGTAGTTTTCTCTTCCAACCAATCTATTGGCCTTCTATATAATTTCTTTAAAAAACTTGTTCTTTGAGTAAGTAACATGTCAGGGAAGTGACAATAAAAAAGAATCTTGGCCTTGGAGAATTTTAACAATGGTATGCAAGCTGATATTTGGTCACAGAAAATTAGATCGACATCCTTAGAAAGATCGCTGATAAACACCAGGTAAAATGCCGCAAATATCATCCTGATATATGCACACATGGCTTTAAATCTGCCAAATATACTTCGAGGTAACCAGTCACCAACGGTTGTAATTTTAAAGGTTCCATCTTTAGTTTCACTGAAGCAGTGTGTCGGGTCGTGATGAGCGGTCAGAAATTCGACAGAATGTCCACGAGATTTCAGAGCTAACGCTGCATCAATAACTGCTCTTTCGGCCCCACCAATGCCAAGATCTGGATGGAGAAACACAACCTTTGACATGACAAGCTTTATTTCACGATAAATTAGTCAATTTTAGATGTTTTTAGAAAGAATGATGCAAAATATCCTGTTTACATATGTGGCGGAAGTGATATCTGTTTCTGGTATTAATTTGTGAAGTTTACTAAAGGGGGGTAACTGCTAATTCTCCCGCAAACGGCCAGTTAATTTTACGAAACGCATTCCCTTGAAGGAAAGAATAAAAATAAAGTTGGTTACTACTTACTATGGTATATAAATCTATTACGGCACATAAAGTAAGCAATTCTATCTTTTATCACATCTTATATGTATGGACTAGGTTATATTGTAGTAAGCATTTTTTTTTTAATTTTCAAAAACCCCAAGCTCCAGCTTTAACCTACTGAAAGGCGCGACAGCAAACACAAATTTCAAAGATTTGTTTTATTTTACTGTAACGATTTATTCCAATAGAATTTTAAACTTCAAATTAAATATATCCCAAGACACCCCTGGTTTCCCCCTTGTCAGTGGTGCAAGATCGACAGATGTCTAGTCATTCGGATGGGAGGGAAATTTGAGCTTCCGTGCACAACTTTGAATTCGATGAAAGAGTAGGCGGAAACACCGTCTGGAGAAAATGTCCCTTAAAGTTAAAGCACACAGCATGGCGTATGCCCATCTTGTCCAGATGGTGTAGAAAAAGGCAAACCTCATTTCACCCAATCATTAATTTTACTGTAGGCCCATTTACCTTAGTAAAATTTAAAAACGAATGTAAACTTCAAATGACTATAATAAAGGCACAGGCCCAGTACGCCAGACGACCAATAACCATTTTTCCTGATTAATCAAACAACAGCAGTGACTAAATGGTGTTCTTTGGAAGAGTAAAATAGAAACAAAAATCCTCCGTCCAATAAAATCTTAAGCTCGGTATTCATAGATAAGTATTCTGTAAGAATAATGAATAGACCTTATGACGGCGGCGTGATATCAATTGAAAGTATAACATCCAGTTAGGAATAATAGATTTTAATAAATTTTGGACAAATATGTCTTTTGGTTATAGTACTTTTTATTGTTTATGGTATAAAAATCTGGAATGTTTTGTCTTTAATTTTGAACTGATAGATTTGAAAAATAAACCCCAAAAACCCCATCTGTTTAAAGTAGCTAAGTCTTTAACTCAATATCATCCAAGGGCTGCGACATTGGGAGAGAGAGAGAGAGAGAAATGGGGTTTAACGTCCACTCGACACAAACTAGCAGTGGAAGGAAACCGGAGGACCCGGAAAAAAACCCACGACGTTGGACAGGCGACCCTACTTCTTGTCACGTACAACCGTGGATTCGAAACCACGCCAGTGGACTCAATCACAGGCTTTATGATACAGCGTGCACGTGCTAACCATTCGCCCCCCCCCCCCCCCCGTGACATTGAAACACGAATTATTTATCAATTTAAATCAACATTGATGTTGTGGTCTACCGGAAAAAGATGGGTTTCTGATATCCAGAATGCGTTTTATGTCCATTTGTAACAAGAGACTCGAAGAACGAGGCTAGACATATTCCACTAGTCATGTCAAACGGTGACGGCATATTCTTATCTGGCGAACATGCGCAATAAATACTGTCGGTGTAGACTGGAATTACCAGACGCTAGAGATTGTCATTCGATTGAGAGTAAAAATGGAAGCGATTCAATGTGAACTAGTTTATATACATTCAGATTAGATTATTATATGCGTTGCGACCCATTTGTGTCGATTTCTAGATCCCAAATATTATCGATTTAGCTCATTTAAACCGGTTTCTACTTCTTTAATTTCCTAAGTTCTTAGACTTTAGTTGACTTTTAGTTTTGGTCTGATTCCATCTTATGCCTACATTTGGTACAGTTTTCGCATACAATTTGACCTTCTCTATTTAGACCGATTATTATTTATATACATAATCGATAAGCATAATTTCCTGCTTACAATAAGAAAATGTTATAGGAGGAACATAAAATATTAGAAATGTAAATCATCGAGTTCTTTTATAAGATCATTGATTTCAAAAATCGATAAAACTTGATGATAGAGGGAGCTAATACCTGTAAAGCCTATTAAAGATAGAAAAGGCTGACTAGACTAGTTTCATTTTCTCGTAAATTATTTGAAGTTCCACTGATTAAAGAAGGCTTATAAATCAGTAATGTATAGCATCGCCATATTGTAAACCTTATAACATACCAAAAGCAATCGTGACTTGTACAGTCTGCCAGTGCCCGAGCACTAACATAATGGTTGTCAATTTATATTATACACATATACAAAGTCTAAATTCTAATTATTTTAAGTATTGCTCTTTGTTTATTTATTTGGGGGGTTGGATGGCCGAATGGTTAGCATGTGCGCGCTGTATGATAAAGCCTGTCACGCTTTTCCGGACACAAAACCCTTTTAAAATTGCGGGTCAATTTTTTCATTGGGTGACCTGGCAATCTATTGCCGTTCCTTCAGAGGTCTATACAGTGCATGACCCACATGCGGTACTGTAATTTGCACTTACACATTATTTTTATAAAATAAATGTCTAGTTTTATCCAGACACCAGCTTGGGACACCAGTCTCCATTTCCAGATGAAGACTGACGGGTTTAAGTTGTTTGAAGACGTATCACGTATAATCTAGACTTAGTTTCTCGGTCCTAAGGTAGAGGATTTTAAGGGCTTTTAACACAAAATTCAGCTGTTTTATTCTCCAAAATATAATCGACATTGACCCTTTAAACTTTCTGATTGTCTTTTGAAATGAAATGAAATGAAATGGAGTTTAACGTCCTACTGTTCTGCTCCGAACTGGGCTAATGAAGACGGGCATACGCCATACAGTGTGCTATGAGGGAAATTTTGCCCGGACAGCGGCACTACGGCTTACTCTTATATCGAATTCCAACTGTCAAGTGATCTTTTACGTGCACGCCAATGTGTACACGGGACCTCGGTTTTTCGTCCCATCCTGCATCATGATTGTGATTTGAGGAAATGTTAATCCCTTGCAAACTACATGTATATTGTGAAAGTTTAATCTCTAATAAAAAATGATTCAATTCTATTCAGTATTTACAAAGACAAGACGAACTGAAAATTGCCAACGACAGCTATAGTTTTCGCTAAAGTCCAAGCCAGCAGATTATGTACCGATTAGATTTAAATTCATTTTAGCGTGGATCAAGCATTGAAAGCTTAGATACCGAACCGTATTGTCTGAAAATTGTAAATGACGATTATCGACTTTAATTCTGTGGTGATGACATTTAATGCACGAATTGTCTTTTTGGGAAGTATTACATTTCTTTTTTCCGGAATAATTTGATTAATAACTGATATATGTGATAGTTGCCAGACTCACTAAACTATTAGATTTAACAAGAAATCGATTTGAATTTGATCTGACTTGATGTAATTTATTTGGCTATGGGAGGACAAGGTTTAGATAATTATAGTCTAGTCTTGAAATCATTTAAAAAATCTTACTCACTATTTGTAATAGGCTAACAGATCATATATATTTTGCTATGTTCGGTTTGTATATTGTACGCGGCAAGGAGTGGAGTCTCCTGTCCAGTCCAACCTCGTGGGTTTTCTCCGGGTCCTCCGGTTCCCTCCCACTGCTAAAAACCGCTACGCGCAAGCGAATAGTTGAAATAAAATTGAACCATGTGTTAGTCCGGAAATGACCGAGTTTGTGTCAAGTGGACATTAAACCACATTTCTCTCTCTCTCGGTTTGTATAAAGTATATTATCATAGGTTGAAGATATATCCCATTTACAGTGCGACATGGGAATTATATCTCCATGCACTGTGGGTTATGTAAGATTGAAACCCTCGGGTTTCAAACGGACCAAATTATTGCGCGTTTAAAGACCAAATACTAACGGTATACAATGCAGGAATATTTAATTTAATCGAGAAATAAACAACAAACAAGTATTTTAAGAAGAAATTATAGCGGAGTTGATAATGGAATATGTTGTCGAACAAAGCCATGTACACAATATCAATGATTTACCAGGAATGTTGAACCTCTGGGGTACCTTTTAAGTCCGTCTTCACTACCTTGGTTACAGTAGGACGTTAAGCCCATTTTATTTCACGTCCAAACTGGTCTAAAGTGAAATAAACCGTACCGTTACAAATAAAGCCGGAGCCACGGTGGTTCAGTGAGTGACGTGGGCTCGCTAATCTGGAGGCCCCGTGTTCGATTCCAGCGTTCGCCTAGGACGTTCATCGTGATTTACCGGCGTGGTTCCACCTTGTCAGTGATGTAGGACAGAGGGACTGACAAGGGACAAGGTATAGTTGTTCGGATGAGACGAAAACCGAGGTCCCGTGTACACATTGGCGTGCACAGTATTAAACCCCATTTCATTTCATTTTACAAATAAGTCCCTGGAATCAACTTCGCTGAATAGTTTGACTTATCGCCTCACCCATTTACTTATTAGTTGTTTACGCACATTGTATTCTTTTTTCAAGTAATCAATTTTTTTCTGGTATACATAAGTAGTATGGTTGAAGAAGTCAAAGGTATAAAGAGGTATATTTATTGTTTATATTGATTGATCATGATTTATATTACAAAGCATCAAGTATAAAACATAACGTCAAGTGGTTGCTAAAAATAACAACTTATAAGGACAACAACCTTTATTCATATACACTTTATTTTCATTGACTGACATTTATTACCTCAAATTTATTATCAAAAATGACGATTTACTTTACTGTAATAGACAGTAATTTCATGAGAAGAAATGCAAGGCCCGTGTCATAAAATAAGTACCACGTATGCAATGTCGTAAAATACATTTTAAACAAAGAAGGCTTGTTTATAAATATTTATAATAAAAATATTAAATAATAGATTTCTCGGGCTATCATTGAAACATTTCACATATGAAATTTGATATATTTGATTCGTACTGTTAAAGCCAAGCATGCGTGATATTTGAAGAGTTAATCAAACATTAATCTTCACTTTCGAGTTTTTATCTGGAACGAAACTGACAAGAATTAAGATTAATCCTAGTTCCACGAAAACGTATTTACACTCTATTCTCGGGTTGGATTGTAATTTCG